TGACCTTGCCTTAATTGCGGGGTCGATCGTTCAGATCTACCATGGAGTTGTCTTCCGCTTGGGCGTATTCTAGTATTGTAGCAGTTCTAGATACAGTATACATTATGGCAACTGCTCGCGCATGTTCTGTATGCATGACAAGCGCCGCCCGTCTTGTTTGTTGAGCAGAGGCACATGCAGCGAAGTGCGGATCAATTTGCCAACACAAGATAGCCAGACAGGAGCGTCAATGGCTTTGGAGAGTGCACGCCAGTGCATGCTATGGTAGACTACAATACTGGGTGTAAACACGAGCGAGTGCTTTTCATGTTAATGGTCGTGCGCCTGTCAACGCGCTGACAGCTCGATCGAACCCAAAAGCTTGGGCGCCTGGTGTAGAACATGTCCGCCAATGATGGACCTGAACACGGTCACATGACTAGACAACCCAATCCTCGTTCCAACACGCGTCCAGCTCAGTCCCTCTCTGTGCGTATTGCTTGGACCCATTTAGGTTTGATCATTCGCGTGGCTCTGTTTACCTCTGTTTGGACACGTTAGCGGTCAAGTTGAACCGCGTGATGGCGTATATGGGCGCTGTTGACTCTTAACGACCACCATCACCTAGCCGCGAGCTCGCACAATAGTCCTACTCCCTCATTCTCGATCGCAGCTATGTCTGAAATCGTCGATCTTGCAAACCTCTCGGATGATCCGAAGATCCAACCGTATCTTCTTGGGGATGATGACAGCTTTGTGTGGTGCGTGCATGCTTACATTTGCGCTGCCTGGATACTCACCAACTGGTAGCGGACTGAACGGAGAGCCGCTGCGCCTTGAGGAGGACTTCAGTGGAAATGAATGTACTGCTAGGCTGATCGAGAGGGGGAATGTGTGCGCACCTTTTATTATTGCTGTTTTGTGCACCTGTGACTTATGGTCGTTGCAGCGTATGGACGCAGGCAAACGCTTCGGAAGATCTGAGTTCCGACGGCAAGTTCCTATACGTCGTGTTGTCTACGAAGAAGAACAACAACACCATCCCCGTTCTCCGCCTGTTTACGTCCGCCTATATCCGGGCGCTCGCCGACGATGACACCGAGCACGTCGACAACAAGGAGGCGTATGTTATGACATGTTTCTCTTCGAATTTGTACCAACATACGCTTGCAGCATCCAAGATTTTCTTGATGGCTATGAGCTGGAAGGTAACGCCATAGTTCTCTCGGATATTGAGGACGATCTTCCGACTTCGAAGATCAAAGGTATGTCCATCCGCATAATCATCTACTGGCTGGTTCTCATGTGGTGCAGGCGTCTTGACCGAAGATGAGTTCGACGACAACTTCGTTTTCGACCAGCGTGTGGTTCTCAGCTACCGCAACATGAACGAGTTCAATCTTTACTTAGCTGAGGTTGCCGAGGGCACGCCGGAGATCTAGGTCGAGATGATGTATGGGCTTACTGTATCTATGTGTAAGAGGAGTTCTGGCCGCCTGTAGTCTGCTTTGCGTTCTCGCTATCGAGAACTTCATGTATTAACTTCTCAAAATGTCACCTTTAGTCGCGCTGCATACATCTTACCGATGGATCTCACTGATGACTGATGTAAGTCTTGAAGTGCAATCGCTTGCCTTCTGCTTGCCGCGGGTCGGAAAGGTTATCTCAAATATCAACGCAAGGTCTTCTACCTAGTGATAAAGATACTGCATCTCTGGAGAGCGTATCATGGGTCTTGAACATGGTAAGGTAGTGATAAAAACAGAGAGATGCTGGAGGAACTGGAGGCCAGACCTTCGAGGATTAAGAAGGCCCGAAAAGGTTGGATTTCAAGAGGCAATAAGGTGTTCAAGAGCCATCAGCGCGGGTAGTGAGAGCTTGCACACTTACAATCTCCTGACATGCCAAGCTCTTACTACGACACGTTAGCCCCGATGTGCCTGCAACAGAGAGCTAGGGCAGGCAGCGTCGCTCGGCCTACACAGCAGCATCAAAAGGATAATAGGGTCCACATGGGATCTGATATCCCAGAGCTAGTGAAAGTGACTATCATTATACGGAGATAGTCGAGGATGCCAATGCGAGCGTCTGTGTATATTGAAAGAAGGAGGATGAACTTACAAGGGAGACTGCCACATCGGCCCATGCGTATGCGCCCAACACCACAGCGAATGATGATATGCATCCTGACCAGTGTACCAACCTGTATGTGACTTGGAAGACAAAGGCAATTTGTAGCTATGGTGCAATTGTTACCGCGGTACACAGGTCTGGTTCCTGAATGGTAGCTGGTTACTTATGTCATCTCAAGCGCCTTGCTTGATATTAGGGGGTATCTGTTCTCAAGCCCTATGGTCTCTGATGCTCTTTTTGAAACGCCTCTGTTTCTCGGGGTATGCCGAGGTTACTCGAACACTCTAGCCCTCACAAGCATCTTCATCGACTAGGATTCGAAGTTCTTGCTGCTAGAATCTATGCTGGTATGAACCATGAGCAGTGGAAAGCCTGGTATTCCTTTTGGGGATATCTACTGTATATGTATCCACATATACTCTATACTGAATCTAGCAGTACACTTCCATCTTCCATGATCCGAAGAGCGATGGCTCCATTGAATTCCATGCGTCTGAATTCGCCAACTGAGAGAACATCTATCGGATTGTTCAGTATATGCAATTCTTTGCATGCCACAGGCTCGACATACTCTGTATCTCCACATGGGAAAGCCTGTGGACAGCATTTGTTATGAGTAGTTGGACGCCGTCTTCTACTTCAGCCATTCGAAGTGCGGTCATAAGTCTGTGCAGGGGTAAGGAGTCCTACTCTCATGAAGGAACTAGACAACTCACTGCGGAGAGTTTGGGATCAAGCAAGTACTTTGCCCAGCAAGCGCACGTAGCCTACGAGCGGACACAAGTGGGTAGAGCGTTACATCGCCTTTGCACTTGTCTATGCTCGTCACGAGACCAAACCACGAGTCCTCATCAGCGTAGTTATGCAAAGGGCTGGGCACATATGCAACGCTTCTCCTGTATTAGTTCAAGGACATCTCTGCAATCGTTGTTACGTACATGTTTCCGCTGTAGCATGGTCGAAGCTCTGCCAGAGGATTAGCCGTCATGGAGCTTCGATATAGCACTATCCCGGAGTCTTGGGTTCTAGTAGGACGGTCGACTCATGTTGAGTAACCCGATTTACAGTTGATAAAGGTTCCGCTGTACTGACGTTACTGGTCCGCGAGAGGCGCTCACATTGTGTACGAAGTGTTGAAAGCCATGCAGATTGCTGAAATCGATAGAGTGGTCGTCGCTGTGCATTGTTGCTGATGTTGTTGGGGAGAGATTCAGAAGCCAGATGGACTATATCCGCTGGACATCTTCTTTCTTAGCGGCGACGTTACACCGAGCTAGCAGTTTCACACGGACACGATCTGCGGCACCGTCGCTGTATAGTGGCTGATCCAGCGCTGACACATGGACACGGTTGATGCGTTTCAAGGACTCAGGGTCAATCATGGGCGCTTGTTGTCGCGATGGCTGGGCATGCGGCTGCCGGCCTCTTCTCGAATTTACTTCTCAATGGGTCTAGCAGAATCTTCTGGATCATATGCATGGCTTTGACGCCGAGATGTCTTCATTTGAGTTGGCAGGTCGAGCTCTTCTTTGCCGGACTGCTACCCTCCGCTATCGAAATATCTTGACAACGTTAGCCTCCAGACCTATGATCTTCGTTTTGAACGATCTTCTTTACAGTTTGTATGTCTCGCAGTTCTTGTTCCGACTCATATGCAGCCATAATCGTGAAACACACGACCGCTACAATGTATATCCGTAGTCCACACATTCATTATGCAACCATGTCAGACGTAATGTAAGCGTACATGGGCCCGGAGCAATGCCGTAGATGTAGATAGCCAGGTGCATGGACATCCCTACCAATCTAATAGTAGGCTTCCACAATACTAACGACGTGACCGTACAACGAGGTGAGCACCCTCAAGCCGTTGTTGAAACCGATGGAGCGGAATTCACTTCTTGTAAGTACAGCTGTAGCTTGTTAGGCTCTATGATTGACATCCAGCGTTGAGCTGCAAACGTACCGCATATGCGCAACATTGATAGACGTTCTTGCCGGCTACTGAGTAGCTGTTCCTTACTGTCCCGGTCCATGCCGGTATCGTTCAGGCAGCGTCGAAGGCTGGAATGCATGTCAGCGCAGTGAACCTTGTTGAAAGTCAACATGCGTACTCGGGCTGGTTGACTGGCCCGTTTGTCGTGCTCCTGGATAGTGCGTGCAGGAATCGAGCCGACATGAGCCGCCGAATGGTTAGGAATGAGTTGCCTGGCGTATTGAGCTCTGTCACAATGCCGAACCACATGCCCTCCTGCGCTATATCGTGGACCGCATCAGGGATATAGCTGACTCTGGGCAGAGTCAGCGGCATCTAGAGACGAGATTCAGACGACGTACAGGTTGCCAACCTTACACTCCCGCCCTCCGCTCTCGGCTTCTTCTCCTGCAAGGTCTAGATAGAATCGCGCCCGCGCTCCGGCCAGGGTGCTGACAATATGTGAGAATCTGGCATGCTGCTGTGATTGTCCAGCACGTACGTGAGACAAGCGTTCGGGAGAGTCAACGGGATAGCAAACTCGAAGCCGTACATCTCAGCCAAGTCGATGATGAGGTCTTCGGAGTCAATCATGGCGTGGCGCGTGTCTATCTGGGGCGGGGATGGAAAGGATCGACTGATTTTACTGGCGTCTAATGTTTGCGGCGATGTTGCACCACATGTGATGTCTCTCACGAGCAGCGCTATTGCATGTTAACCCTATTTGATACTGGATGTCGCTTTGACTGGATGTACTGTCTACCTGGTTTCAATGTCCATCAACTCCGGTATGAGCGCCACCATGCGTCCCTGCCCGAAGCCATATCATCTCACGCAACAAAGACCACTGATGTCTGCGCCGGTCTACTATACAGGCCATATGCATCAGCAAGACCGGCATCTTCCTATTGGCTCCGATAACGGGCATTGTTCGAGCTTCTTGCCTATCCTGGTTCTTCTTTAATCATTCACATTGTCTAGCATGCCTAGGGACGTTAAGACTGCTCAAGAATCTATGGATTGTTGTGTCCATGCACAACATGAGTTGTATTGCAAAGATTGCGGTCCCGTATGTCCCACTGGCTGCACTCGCAGGCTGTGTTCACCTTTCTCGGTTTAGCTTAATGCATCGGATGTTAGCCGAGTTCTCCGCGTATGACACTTCACAACGGAAGGAAGTACCGGAAGAAGATGCCTCCGCAGTGGCGTTTCATAGCCGAGGGCCTTGCCCAGTCGGCTTTCTCAGTTTGCAGTTAGCTTCCGAGATTCCATGGTCGGATAGGGGTGTTTGGCCTTACCCCCCCTCTCTCATACACGTCAAGTTCTTGCAGCCAGACATTGTCCTGTCACTGCATGGTCTATGTATCTCAGTAGTCGTGTAGTGGTGTGGCTATATCCTTGGCTTCTACGAATGAAATCGGGGGGAATAGATGTTGACGCAGTCTTGTTGTGAGGTTCTAGCGCCAGCAGACCTTTACACATTTGTTTGTCACCGGATGCGCATGGGTCCCAATGTTCAGATCCTACTATCCTGTCTAGGCTATGGACCGGCGCTTGCGCACTGCGCACGGGGATCTGAGAAGTTTACATCAGAGATCTCCATTCTCATGCCGCGAAGGTCGGACTTGATCGGCAACCGGTCAATCAAGTTGAGTTCAGTGGTCGCTGTGCAACGTCGCCGTTAACGAGCTTGATCAAAGAAGCGGGGTCCGTCGCTGTTTCATGTGGCATGCACATCTACTCTAGGCCTTCGGCCTACGTTGCCTTCGGACATGAGAGCAAATGAGCTGACCGATCATCTTCTTGCCCGTACACTCTCACACATGCGTTGCTTGAGAGCTTGAGAGCGGCCCAGTGCTGTCATCTCTTACGGGATCTCTCGTGATGAAGCGCTATCCTGCGGTATGTGTGATTGCGTCCCGGGACTCTGTCTATTCTGCACATCCTCGGCTATGGCAGACTGCGGTTATTGTGGCTTACCTCGTACTACTGGCGATAGACAATGGCACAGTCTCGCAGCAGCATGAGAGTAAGTGCTATATCTTATGCTGTTATATAAGGAAGCCCATGTTATTCTGTTGTAAGCATCACTTGTTCACCATGAATACCGACGGACAGCATGTCACTCTCATCGACATACCGTTTATTAGAGATAATGCGCAAGTATCCTGTCTAGACATGAGATCATGCCAGCTAATTGTCATACTTTAGAGTACCGTCTGTAACTGTATGCCGGGCCGTTGACGGAAGTGGACAACCTGCGCCTGAGAGATACAGCGAAGTGGGTGATCTGTCAGTGTGTTCATATGTCGCCATGAAACGTTCTCACTAACATACTTCCTCAGGGTCATGTTGAGACCAGATCCTGACTTTAACTTCACTCGTGATACATGTTGGTTCGGCGTTCTGACTTGGGTCCAATCTCTCGGCAATGTGCGCACAGGACAGTCTCGTAAGGTAGAACGCTTTCATGTAGTCTTTGCGGCCATAGTCTGACTTTGACATGACAGTGCGAGATATGGTGGGTATACACCAAGCGGCATCTGATGCAGATTTGCCGAGCTGGTGAGGCAATTGAACCTGCTGAGTGAGCCTCTTGTTCAATTTCAGGGATTGCACCGGCAGTGACATATCATCTAGGTTACGCACAAGACTTCGATCCTTTGCTAATAAGGACGCCTGGTTGTCTGACCACTTCACAGAGGAGCCTGTCGACTCGATCATCAGTGAGCCCTTCCATCATGGCTGATATCAACATGCCCTGACCTGCTTAAAGCAATTCCTACAGACGCTGAAGCTCGCAGGCATATCCATCTCTCTGATACTCAGCTTCTAACAGCCGATGTCAACCTAGGACTGTACAAATTTGTCGATATATAGATCCTAATGCTCATGCCGTTCATCTGCATCTGTAGCGTTTATTCATTGTTATTTATGATACAACTTTTCCTGGTCAAGACCTGTCGGGACGACCAAGTTGTGCAGGTTTCGTTCGCAAGACATCAACATGTTGACTCTGCATCACTTACTGGCACAGATAGGGCCTTGCATTGTTGAACATCCAGTGGGCAAGCTACTGCTACATATCCGTTTTGGCGGAACATGCCTCAACGATGTTGTTTGATACCTGCTTATGGCATGAGCCCTTAAGCTAGACCAGCCTCACACTCTTTCTACTAGGTAACAGCACTTGCCGTGCCACTGTATCTCACGGGACCTATCCCAACCTATTGACTTGAACTCGCGCACACTCAGTACACCTGACAAGAATAAGTGCTCTATTAGGATGCGTCGATTGTTGAGCTGTCAAGAGTACTCACTGTGTACGGCTGATATGTATATGTGGTCATATATGTTGGTAATGAATTGAGTGTTGGTGGTGTGAGTAAGTTGTTTGAGTTGGTCCTTGAACCTGATAATTTCGCTTATCGATCATGCTGTGGTAGGTATGTTAACGACTCACTCTGTTCTATTCTGCATCAAGCTGGGCTGGAGCATTTGAGAAGTTGACATCTTGGCGTACTTTGCTGATGTGAACCATCTCACTCTGATGGGACCCCCTGGCGAGTACGAGATTACTATTGCGTACCAGTACTTCTCATTTGCTATGTTCTGGTCCGAATCTGGCCTCACTGCGACGCTGATGTGAAGTTCAATTAGATCTTGCCTCCCTTCCGACATATTGACTTACACTGTTCCCTCTGTAACCGTTCTCGGTACAGTTAGCTCCTGCCCGTCAAGGCTTACTTGGAAGCGCGCGAGATCTCCTGATCGATGTCTGTTATGTCTCACTAATTCAGTTATTGTATATCTTTTGGTGCTGAGGTTACTCACGTCAAGAATGAGCCTACCACAGTGTCTGGGAGGAAGTCTTCTTCTATGCCCTTTTCGAACGTGAAGTCTTGTAACTCGTCGTGATTGTTCATGTCGTGGTTAGGGTATTGAGCAAAAGCTGTCCAGTATTGTATGTGTATGTGATGTGGCCACTGGCAAAAGCTCGGTCTATAAGAGACAAGAACTCGTCTTATGGCACACACGCAGTTCCTTTTGCCGGCAATTCCGGAACTTCATGATACTTGAACCTGTTTATAAGGCTTCTAAGCCTGTCTTACACAGCATTGCAAGCGCTATACTCTCAGAAGCCATCATAACCGTATGCCACATGCTGCCCTAATGATCTCACAGTGTTGATCTGGGTGACGTGAGGGAAAGTTGATGGATATCGATTACGAAGTCTGACACATATTATATGCTACTATGCAATGCTGTACTGTGATCTATACCTAAGCGTAGACTACTCCTCGCGCTCCTGATTCACTGTTGTATCAGCCTCTTGTAGACTCTTGTCGACAATAATCATACCTGTTCTTCTGTTGTAGCGAGTGCTGCCATATCTGCCATGCGTTTTTTCCCGCGTCCTCCGCGCCGAGTCTTCTTCCGCGAACGCTGACCGCTGGTACCATCCTTGTCTTCATAGTCCAGATTTGTCTCCGCTGATCGTTTGAGACTGGCTGCTTGCAAGGTGCGCTCCTGGGTTTCGGGAGGAGGTTTAAGAATGTTGGTTGAGCGTCCGGTGCAGGCGTAACATAGACATCCGTCCTTGTAGTAACCCTGGCTGCTGTACCTTGCCACGATCTCGCTGCCCGGCTGAATATCGACAACGGCGATTATCACTCCAAATAGAGTGCCAGAGTGTGTTCTCATTATTTTAAGCTACATTCGCAGCGTCAGCGTAGGCATTGGTGCCAATATTCATGGTGCAGCTTACCTGTGCATTCTCCCCTTTACATTGGTGGTTCACGAAGCGAAAGGGTCCCAGAATATAGACAGGTCCGTCTGCGGTCTCTATGATGGACGGCCCTTCTTCGGTCGCAAGGTCACTCGACGTCGAGCTGGCGCATTCCCAGATGTAGTCTCCTGCGCCTATCTTCTTTCTCGCACGCAGACCAAATCCCAACTCTCCGCGCTGCTCCTTTCCATCCGGTGCATAGCAGACCTTTATTGTCTCAACTCTGCTGGCGTCTTGATACATGACGCAGTAGCGAAACAAGAGACTGAAAGGTTTGTGTTACTGGTAGTTGCTTGATGCAGATATATGCTTATAATGACTCACTTGTACACAATTTGCCTCTTGAGCGGCGTCTCGGCACCGAGAAGGTTGTGTTCGAAGAATGCATCCACGCCGTCTTCGACGAGTTCAACTAGCGGCTTGCTCTCCGCACTCGGATGAGTAAGCTCATTCCAGTCCGTTGCCAGGCGCGCCAATCGAATCATGTAGTCTTTGTCGTCAAGTCTTCCAGTCCCTGCAGTACCTGAAGAGGATGTGGCCGGTACCACATTGTTCCACCGCCCAGGTTGTTTGCCATGCTTAGCGAAGCGCTTCTTCATGAATAGAGCCGTCATGATGATGTGGTCAATCTTGGCAAACAGCTTTCCCTTGAACCGCTGATTGTTCAGCATATTTATTTTCCTGAATATGGGATCGCCAGTAACCATGTCGGGTTGCCATAGATCCTGTTGGTTGTATTGCACAGATTGTTTCGCCTTGCGGCCGAGATGTGCGCGGCTAGAGGAGCTCATCGGACGTAGATGATTGTGGTGGTTTTAGGCAAGTTGATGCCACGTTGATGGGCGCTTGCCTTGTAACGGCGAAGTGTCACGGGTCAGACTTTCCCACAGCGCCCGCGCCCAATAGCAGATAGCCGAGCGATAATCGGTTCATCCATCAGTTCACTCCCATCCAAGTAGTGGTCAATGTATGTAGTCTTGTGTAGTAATGCTGTCTCCTTGTCGTCTTGCGCCTCTTTCGGGGATCCTTGTTGAGGGTGTAGTGTCCTTCGATGATTTACTCACGCTGGCACTCATCTCACCATATTGGAGGTGAGACTACTCTGGCTTGGCATTGCACTTGGATATTGTCCCCTGCACAATTCAGGGCTGACATTCGGGAAAAGGCTAAAACTCCGGGCATCTGCAGCGATGACCTCATTGGGTTTTCAAGATAGACTGAAGGACTCCGTCTGTTAACGTTTCATGCAGTAGTGATCCTTCCTCAATACTCGGAGCTTCTTATTTGCTTCGCTCAGTGTTGGCCTTCCATGCAATTCGTGCATGTGCTACGTGTATATGCCGCAAATAGAGCTATGCTACTGAGACTTTCTCCTGCGCCTTCGTGACCGCTTCGCCTTGAGCTCTTGATCTCTCAGTCTGATCCTTGTTTAGTGACATGTTATCATATTTGGTATATTGGAAACATTTGCTTGCCTGACTTCGGGAGGTAGTTGAGACAGAAGTTCCTCATGATGTTGCGATATAGGGTCCTGGGCATCTTCTCCCGGTTTGCGTAAGTCCTTGCGAAACCCTTGGAAGGACTTCCCCCTGTACAGACAGGAGACACCTCGATGTACACAGAAACTGACGTTGTCACATCAGCTTGATCTTTGTCCAGCCAAAGAGTATAACTTGTTACTTGCCTGCAAGGAGAGTCAGCGTCCGGGCGCTCACATTTTCTCTTTGCAAGTTTGCAGTTGATGCACGAAAGGCCGGCTCTGACAATCCCGTCGTCACCATGATGCTTCTTGGCCCTAGCTCGTCTTGGGGGAATGGTGTTTGAGGCGCCTTTCCAGGCCGGCTGCATGATTCGCTCGTCCTAAGAGATGTGAATGGATGGCAGAATTGAATAGGCAGAAAAAATAGCTACCGAAAGGTCATATGTTGCCTCACAGTCTGTCATAGATTTACAATTCTCGGTCCAAAATGGGCTCTGGTGGTGGGTGTCTTCGGTCAAGGCGCGCGCCGATTGTCAGTCGGAAAAAGGCTGCCCTACTTCCGACGATGATGCTGTCAAGTAGGATCAGGATATCGAGTCATCTCGTGTGTGCTAAAGCTAGGACCCAGACACAAGTACCCAGCCAGGCCAAGTCGCTCCGTAGAAGGTCGAGCATTCAGCGCAGACATGGTACCTTGTACCGGAGGGATCGGTGATGTTAGACGTCGGCAAGGTCCCCCATTGGTCAATCAGAGGATCCCGCGATCGCGGCAAGTCTAATTCCACCTGAATCACGGGCTAAACCGGCCGGTTCGGCCAATCTGGGGAAATTCCAACGGGTCACGTGGTCGCGTCATCGGCGGGCGCGCTTCAGAACGCGCGAACCGGAGTTGATCACAACCACCATCATCGTGCTCTTCTTCGACCACTCGGCAACGGCTATGTTCTTCGTAGTCTCTGACGGCGCTTGTGTGTCTCAGCACGGATGTTCTTGTTGCGTCACAGTGTTCTGTGACGTGGCAGTGCTCTGCGTCTGATCCGTCCTGGAATACTTTGGCCTTCCAACTCTCTGCGAATGATGGTCGCGGCGATAGAGAGATGGCGTACTAGGCGGCAGAGTTAGCGTGTATGTGAATGGTGGACGCGTGTTCGGACTCGAACACACATGATGCAGATGCATCGAGGCTACCTCTGTGTTGTTGAATCTGGTTCATCTGGGGGACTATCTTATCGCTCAGCTACCAAATCCCGTCCTTTACTCGCTCATCTGGACACATCTATGTATCTATGGCGATTGGATCCTTCACCCTAGAAATCTCACTGTCTGCATTGCGCTGTTGTGATGAAATCTTGCCCATGTACCATGCTGGGACTGGTTCTTCCCTGGCCTGCATAGTGCTTTGACCTAGTAGTTGAACTGGTTATGACCCTACCGCACATGTGCCTAGTGCTCAGCGTCACCGCGCCTGCACATTCACTAAGCAATGAGGGTGTCAATCATTCTTCTCATAGGTTGATGTGCGCCATGTTGGTGGGGAGGGGTCGGCTCGCATCTATAGATAATGGTGCATGCTTTGTGGCTCCCTTGTTGTTTTCTGTGCACCCAGCAATGGTTGTTGCTCTGCCTATGCCTGGGT